GCGCAGCGGCAGCGGCGCGGGGGGCGGCCGGTGACGAGTGGATCTGCACGCACTGGTGAGGCGCATGGTTTTGGGCGTTTCCCTCTTCCACCCCTTCCGCCCCTTGGTCCTTGGACGGTGGCTCAGGTGCACTTGGAGCGACCCTGTGGCTCGTCGTAATCAGCGTCGCAGGCCCCCCCCGCACCCAATCCACCCAACACCTCCCTGAAACCTGCAGCCTCCCCTATAACTCCACCCACTCACACCCCAACCGCACTCCCACCCATCACACCCTCCCTGCACCGCAGCACCCTCTCCAATAACGGCGGCCCCGACTGCGAGGCGTGCGGCCTGCCGCGGCCAGACTGACTGCCGGCGTGGAGGGGCGCCGGCAGGCGCGCCCGCCTGTGAGCGGGCCACAGCAGCGCGTGATGGGGACGGCACCTCTTGTGCCGCAGCGTTTGATCGCGAGTTGGTGTGGGCAGGGATCTCTGCCTTTGCTATGTCCATACGAGCGCCCGAGCACTCCCCATTGCTGCTATGTGTGTAACACGACACGTGCCATGAGCTCAAAGGCAATGGGTACCTGCAGGTTGCGGGTACCAGCTGCCGGCAGGGCCGGCGGCTGGAGCGCAGCCGCGCACATCATGTAGGGGCCTGGTTCCAGCATGCTAGGGGCGCTGGGTAGCGGACGATGCGGTCCGTACACATGGCAACCGTGCATCCTAAGATAATTTGTTACCTTGCCCATATCCATGCGTTCATTCAAACAGGCGCAAGTCAGCTTCATGGTGCAGGGCCGCCAATGTGGCAAACAGCTTGTGCACACTGGTCAAGAATCTCTACCACCAGGACCAGGACGAATGAATTGAACGAGGCGATATTGCTTCAGAGCTAGAGTTAGGTCGTGTTCGCGGTCGAAAGTACATACACCTCTTCTGCGGTGTGAGTGAGCTAGCTGCAGGTCGGTGGTCAGTGAGCACCTTTCAAATGAGCTACGAGGTCGTCCGCGTTGCTTATTAAAGTTTAGAATATTGTAACGACAGCCGGAAGGCCCTACAACTGTGATAGGGTGCCTGCTAGCCCGACTGCTGCAGTAGCGGTTGGGTTGCAGGCAGCAGCAGTCTAAGCGGAGGTGCGTGGCCTCAACAGGATGCATGGACGTGATGTTTACGTTCCTATCGGACATATTGCCCCGTTTATTGGAGCCGTCTAGGGTCGCTACGTCGGCTGGACCGCCGCTCCTTGCTGCACGTGTTGCCGGAGCAGTCTCCATCATGCTCCCCGCCTCTCTTGCATGTGCAGTCGCAGGCTGGAGGATCTCTCAGGTTGAAGGGCGCTTGCAGAGGCCCAAGGTTTTCCTGGATCAGCGCACCCGATGCAAGTGCAGGGCGGCCACTCCGCGCGCGGAGACGCCCTGCCTGCAACCTGCGGCAGCGCCGATGGCGGCGGCTCATTCACAAGTGCATCCACCGCAGCCTACGGCGTATCCCCGTTCGCGGCCCTGAGCCCCACAGACGGTTGCAGCCATGCAACCACGGCCGCGGTCGCCGCCGCTGCGAGCGGGGCTGCCGCCACGTTTGCCGGCCAGGCCGCGGATGCCGTGCTCGATGCGTGCGGCTTGCAACCCCTGTGCAGCCTCCTGAGCATCAGCAGCGCCGACCTGTTGGGGGCCCTCCAGGAGGCGGAGCTGGATGATGTGGCCGCACAGCAAAGCGGCTGCCAGTTCACATCGGGCCACGACGCTGGGGAGGGCGGCGCGGTCGGCGGTAGCGACTTTGGCCCGGTGGGTATCGGAATCTTGAAAATTGGAGTTCAGGGGCTGCAGATAGCTGCGTGCGCCGCACAAGTCCGAAACTGAGAAGGCACCTGGGGGGGGGTGAGGCCCGCAGCTTCCATACAGGTCCGCCGGCACGGCGTGCCACAGCTGGCGTGGGTGCAGTACTCCACCGCAAGCTCTCAAGGCGGGGGGGCGGGGCGGGGCATACCTGCACACCTGGGTCTTACCGCCATCCCACCTGCTCCCTGTCCTGCACCAGGCGGAGCAGTGCCACGGCTCCGGTGCAGTCGCTCAGGCCCGCACATGTGTTAACCTGTGCAGCCCAGACTGCAGCGCCACGTCACCGCCAGGCGGCCCCAGCTCGCACCTGCCGCACCTGCAGCCGGCCATTGCAGGACCCGCCTCTGCAGCGGCGCCGGCTCCAGCATACGGGCTGCCCAGCCTGCAGCACGGGCTGCCCAGCCTGCCGCATTCCGGCAGCGAGGCCGCCGCGCAAGTCGGGGTGGCAGCGGACTGCCTTGGGGAATACTCCCATCTGCTGTTTGACGGCGGAGCGGACGCCGATGATGACGCGGGGGCCGACCCCCCGGTGCGCTGTGCGTCAGACTGTGGCGAGGTGGGCCTTTGGATCGCGGCGGCGCAGCTGGGGGACATGGCGCCCCACGTGCCCGATAATGGCGCGGACGAGCATGGGGCCCTCGTCGCTGCAGAGATGCATGTCCAGCCACCGGCGGGCACAGCGGAGCAGTGGGATCATCCATGTTTGGAGCAGCTGCACGCGGCGCAAGGGCATGGTGAGGGTGACGAGCATTGGCAGTGGGAGCAGCAAAACCAGCAGGGCGACCCACCGCCCTACCAGGCGTGGTCGGACCATTACCCGCAGCAACCGCAGCAGCAGGAGCAGCAGCAGCAGCAGCAACTAGCTGGACAGCAGGAGTTGGCGGCCTCTTCAGACGCCGCCTTCATTCAGCAGGGCGACTACATGCATTGCGCACCGGCTTCGTCCCTGGGCGGCTATGCCTATGGCCAGGAGCAGCTGCAGCAGACCCAGCACCAACACCACCAGCACCAGCACGAACACCAGGCGGCGCTGCCCGACCTCACCGAATACGCAGCCACGTACTCGGCCGCCCCGGCCCCATCCGCGGGCAGCCCTGGAGGAGGAGCATCAGCCGCGGCCCCCGGCACTGGCCATGACCCCGTGATTGCCGCGGGGGCGCGCACGATGGCGGAGCAGCTGGTGCAGCTTGCTCGGGCCCAGCCGGAGCTTCTGCTGGGCGTGATGGGGGGCATCCTGGACAACAGCAGCGTTGCAGGCGGCGCCAGTGCTGGAGCGTGCACGGGGGTGTCGACAGCGCAGCAGGGAGGTGGAGGCTCAGGCGGCGACAGTGCAGCCATTTGGGAGGCTCAAACTTCGGCGGCGTACGGGCAGCAGAGCAGCCATACGTATTCTGCAGGGCCAAGTGGCATGCACGGAGCTCAGCCGCAGCAGCCAAACCAGCAGCAGCAACTCCAGCATCAGCAGTACCAGCAGCAACAGCAGCAGCAGCAGCAGCAGCAGCAGCAGCAGCAGCAGGGCATGGGGCTGCCGCCATATGCAGTGATTCAGCAGCTGCCGCCCCGCGCCTCGCGCAGGCGTGCCGCTGGCCTGGCCAAGCGACGCCGCCTGGAAGCGCCACCGCCCGCGCCCCGGGCCACCTCAGGCTGTGACGGCAGCGGTGGCGCCGCCGAGGCCGTCCCCATGCAGGTGATGAGCGCGCTCCTCCAACTGGTGGCGACGGCTGTGCAGGCACGGCAGCAACAGAGTGGGGTTCAAGGTGGCCTCTGATAACCGCTGAGTGGGATTTATGATGGGCCCCGACAATGGCCTTTATTTTCAATGTCAGGGCGTCCACCGCACTGGGGTCCAGGGCGACACCCCTTTTGGGGGGTTGGAATCGTCATTTGTCAATGCTCGTGGTGTGGGCATGTCATGAGTGCGTCACTCCCCGGGGGTTTCTGCTGATTGATGCCAATCGATCCGCCAATGTGCTTTGTGGCTGGGGCCGATGTCGCCCGACTTGGGTGCGGCAGGAAGGCGCCAGCCAGCCAGGGGCCCACCGAGTCTGCAAGCACAACAACACTTTCCGTTGAGGCTCTTTTCACCAAAAATTCAGACGGCCACATCCCCTATCCCAGTTTGATGCCAGATCAGGCCTCGGTGCTGCTGCCCGGTGGCTCATTCCCGGCGCATTCCCGGCCAGGCGTGGCCGGTCGCCGCCGCCACCCCGGCTCGGCATGGCTGTGGCACCGCACACCGGCCCTTGCTACCTTCCGAGTACACTACACACGCGCACATACTCGCACAAAAAATACCGCTCAACCAAGACTGCTTTTTGGTGTTTTTGGTGCCCGGACTGCAAGCCCGCGTACTGATTGCTCTGCGCAGTCGCGGTGGCCACCCCCACCCCCATGCTATGCATCCAGGCGAGGCGCACTCGCGCAAGCGCCGGCCCCCCTTGTTATCCAGGTGCCGATGATCGCCACACGACTGATGTGAAATCCCCTCAACGCTGGCGCGTGGGACCGGGGTTGTGGGGGGCTTCCACCTTGGGGGAGACCTCACCGGCACCACGGCGCCCACCCGCCTGCCCACCCACCCGCTGTGTGGCCACATCTCAACTCCTGCCTTGCCCACCGCCATTGCAGCGTCCAATGCTTCCGCCGCATTTTCGCCGGCTTTCGCTCCCGGATGCACCCCGGCCCTGCGGCTGCGTCATTCAACCCCAAAGGCCCCGCCAGCCGGCTCCTGCCTTGCCCCTGGCCGCCCACGCCGCACGGGCCTACGCGGTGCTGCTGTTTACTGCGATCACCGCATTCCTTACAGGCGGGCCCGGTGGTTGCTGTCCACACCTGCAGCAGCCGCCCCCGCCCCTCCGCACTTGAAGTCCTTCAACTCAACACCGCAGCGTGAGGCGTGCGCACACCCTCAGACGCGTATTGGTCCTTATTGGTCCCATTGGTATGGTTTTGGGGCTGGCCCTTGCACAAGCGTCGGCCAGCACCTTCGTGTAATTCGTGTGCCCCAGGGGAGCTGGGGAGCTGGGCGTATCAGCTGCGGGGGCTGCATACACACACACTCAGACAACACAGCACGTTGCCAGCGTGGTGCATTCGCGCCGCTACATGATGCACTACACCTCTAGGCAAGGGTGTGTGACTTGTGGGGGGGATACCACAGTTGGGCGCACGCCCCCAGCCTGGTAGCGCTGGCAACTCCTGGGTAGAGCAATCGAGGTGCGGGTCCTTGGCGGCATCGCGCCAACCTGCTGAGTCATATTACATCTGCAGATGCTGTTGCTTGTTTGAAGAGGTAAGCGTCGTGGCGCCGCGTGTCCACGTGCAGCGAGGCCCTGGCGCGCCGCCAGAGGACGTAGCCCACTGCAGGTGGCAGATGAGTGGACAGGTGCATTTTGTGGTGGGCGGAAGGGGTGACACGACGGTGGATCGTGAGGAGAAACTCGCTTAGCCCCTGGTCTGTGCAGACTACAAGCATTGCATGCGGAAGTGCCGGCACCAGCAGGCAGTTCCAGGCGCGCCCGAGTCGCGCGCACCCGTGCCAGCGATGGCCACCAGCAGGACGCTGCCCAGCACGGCTGCCGCCACAGTCTGCCCCTTGCTGTGGTGCAGGTCGTCGTCGATCCGCTGCCCCAGCTCCTTCACGTCATCCACGACAGCCCCCAGGGTGCTGTTCTTCACGCCGCTGCCGCTGCCGCTGCCGCTGCCGCTGCTGCTGCCGCTGCTGCCCGCGGTGCTGCTGCTGCTGTTGTTCCTACTGCTGATACTGCTACTGCCGTTGCCCAGATTGGTGTCGCTTTTGCCCTGGTTGCTGGCATCGTCGTTGTCCATTAGGGCCCGCCGTGGCGCTACAAGACCCGCACCTGACGCGGTGGAGAGAGCCGAAGCGCACATGCGCAGCTGTCTTTGGGCGGTCACAGCCAACTTGTTTACGCAGCAGTGGCAGCGGCAACACAAGACCCCTAAACAGACATTTTGAGGAAGAGGCTTCACATATGCACCCATGCATGCGCGCATGCTGCAGCACCACAGCGCCAAATGCCTCCTGCGAGCCCAGCAGGGCGCCAAGCTGACCTGCCGATGTCGCGGCACTGCAGACGGCAGCGTACGCGAGCAGGGCCAGCACCATCAAAACAACGCCGTAGTTAGGCATGATCACGTGTTTACAAGCCCCGTGACAATGCCTCTCGAGTCAGCCAGTAGGATACGCGATCGTTTGCGAAGTTCCAGCAAAGGCCACGCGTGCATTATAATGTAAGGACGCGCAAAATTTGCAGCGCATGCCCAGGTCGAGCAGGCACGTGGTGAGAGGGTTAACTGCAATTTGACCGATGGTCGCAAAGTCAACAGTCGCACACGCATCACGGTTGCGGAGCCGGCTTGATAGGCTGCTGCGCCGCGGGTGCATCCATCCTTACGTAGGGGAAGGCTGTGGGCCGCTGCTAGCCTCGGCTGTGTCCGCGTCGTCTATGGGCGCCTGCCACACCCCCGCCGTCCCTGCCGCCACCTCCACCACTGGCCCGTCCGGCACCGCCGCCGCTCCTGGTCCCGGCCGCCCAGGGCCCGCCGACACAAAGGTGCCGCCGCCCTGCTCCCCTGCCACCGCCCCGCTCGGGGCGCCTCCGACCCCTCCGCCCACCACTGGCCCCGCTCGTCCCAGATCGTCCAGCCGCCGCCACCCCAGCTGCTGCTCGTCCGCGCTGCTGCGCGTCACCTCGCGCTCGAGGTCGCGCGCCCCCGCGGCCAGCAGCAGCTCCAGAATGTCATCCAGGTTCTCCTGCAGCGTGAACCGCCGCCGCCCCTCGCGCCGCTGCCGCAGCCGCCGCGCCAGCCGCCAGGCCTCCACCCTGTCCTCCAGGAACGCGTCCCACGCCCACGCCAGCGTAGCCGCGCCCAGCAGCAGGCCCCACAGCGCGGCCTTGCCCGGGCCCCAGTAGCCGCTGGCGCGCGGCACGACGAGCGGCGTCGGGGTGAGGAACGCTGGCTCCTGCTGCTGTTGCTGCTGCCCCTGCTGCTGCCCCTGCTGCTGCTGCTGCTGCTGCTCCAAGCCCTCGAGTGCGCGCTCCAAAGGGGCCACGCTGTGGCGCAGCTCGTAGGGCCGCGAGCCCGGCAGCGCGCGCAGGCGCGCCGAGTTGATGGCGCGCAGGAGGCCCTCCGCCGTCATGTCAGCGCCTGCGAGAGTGCGGGGGCGCGCAACCAGTCAAAAGAGTCCGCGACAGAGGCTTAGAAGAACTTCTCGTGCAGGCGGCAACAGTGAAGCTGGCAACGCCGCCCTGTGCCGCACACAGCAGTGCACTCCATAGCGCGTTGCTTTGGCGAACACCATGTGTGACTGCTGTGACAGCGTACCACACTCAAGAAGGCCGCCGCTCCGTGCCGATGGCGCCCCGCCCTCCCCAGCCCCGCACCTCGGTACGCGAGGAACCCCGGGGCGGCCTCAGGGTACACCAGCACCGCAGGCAGCGCCCCGACCCCCAGGATGCGCGACGCAAACGCAGCATTGGCGGGCAGCGACGCATCCAGGGAGAGCACCGCGGCGCCGCGCTCGTGGGCCAGGCCCGAGGCCAGGGACTCCAGGGGCGACTCCACGGCGCGGCACGCGGCGCTGCGAGGGTCGGCCACCACCACCACGTACGTCCGCAGGTTGCGGTGGCCAAAGGAGCGGCGCTGGAGCGTCTGCACGGTCAGCAGGCTCGCAGGCGTGACGCGGCTGCCAGGGTAGTCTGTGGCGTGTGTGGGGGGGGGGGGCAGAAGGGTGTGGGCAAGGGCACATGGGGCACATTACAGGGTCGGCGCTGCGACTCCGGCCTGGGGACACAGCCAGGGATGGCTGTTTTGTACAGCTTATGGAACGCGGGCATGCGGTGGCTCTCACACAACCGACGGTTTGGTTCTGTACCGCGGGCGCGAGGCAAGCTGCAGGGGCGCTCTCAGACCAGCAGCGGTGACACCGACCGCACCCCATAGTTGTTGCTGCTGTTGCTGCTGCTGCCTTGCAGAGACCGCCAGTGCATGCTGTCTACTACTACGCGCCCTCCGCTGCGGTCGCACAGCCCGCTGCACCGGGCGAGCGCTGCGGTTTGGCGTGGCCGCCCTGGCGGCAGCGGCCGCAGCAGCGTGTGCAGTCGCGTGATGCTGCTGCGTAATCGCCGGTGGCCGCGCCCCCACATGCATCCCGACGGCACGGATCTTCACGTTGCACAACTATATCAAAATACAAGTGAGAACAAAAAAATGAAGGCTGCTTATGTTGATCTGACAGACGAAGCCTTGAATAAAGGGCGTCTTCACAACGAGCGCTTGACAAAATATTGTAATTCACGGCAGGTAAACATTTATGCATAGCGGCTTGTGGCTTGCCGATACTTGCTTGCGGACAAGGACACACCGCAGAAGTTACACATCAGCCCTGGCCGGACTTGGAGGATCAATCGCATCCGCGTATTGCAGCATTGATCCTTTTGAAAAGAGGAGCACACCCCTTGCTCGTTCCCTGGCTGCATCGCAAAGGCGCACAAGATCAAGTGCAGTTCCGAGCCTCACAGCTGCCCCATTGCTACAGAGGCCGTGCAGGCACACTATCACACATATGCAGGCCCTAAGGACGAGGCCTGCTGCCCGGCTAGGGGCGCAGCAGACGCGCAAGGCGCCTGCGCCGCTGCTGCCGGCTAGGCTGGGAGCGTGGTGCGCATCGACGGCGCCGCGCCCAGTGCGCGTCGGGGCAGCGGAGAAGGATACCGTACCAGCAGAGACCGAAACGTCCAACAGCAATGGCGCGGCCGGCGGCAGCAGCACGTCCGGCCCGCCTGCAGGCACGGCCTCATCGGCAGTCGCGACCGCGCGCGCGTCGAGCGGCGCGGGCGCGAGCAGCAGCGGCGCGGGCGGCGGCAGCGCGACCGCGTCCCAGCAGGAGGAGGAGGGCTTTAGCTGGAGCGCATTCTGGAACGGGCCGCTGCCGGGCAAGCTGGCGGGCCTGCTGGGGCTCATCGTGCTCAGCCGCGTGGGCGTGTACGTGCGCCTGCCGGGCGTGGACGTGGACGCGTTTGGCGAGACGATGGCGAGCAACGGGCTGCTGGGCTACGTGGACGCGCTGTCCGGCGGCAGCATCAGCAAGGTGGGGCTGTTCAGCCTGGGCATCATCCCCTACATCAACGCGTCCATCGTGCTGCAGCTCTTCAGCGCGGCCTTCCCCTCGCTCAAGAAGATGCAGCGGGAGGACGGGCCCCAGGGCCGCGCGCGGTTCCAGTGGTACCAGAAGTGAGACCTGAGGGCGAGGGGCGAGGGGCGCGGGGCGCAGGGCGCAGGGGCCACACGCTCGCCTCGGGCGCTGGCCAGGCTGCGGGGCCTGTGGCTGGGCACTCGCGCATCACGGCCCGTTCCTGGGAGGCGTGCCCCCGCCCTCACGCGCTAGCCGGCCTGGCGGCCGGCCAAGCCCGAGGCGCTCGCTTGACCGATGCGGCCAGCCCCGCGCCGCTTGCCTCCCTCACAATGCGCGGCCCGGTACACGGCGTGTCAAACACCCTCCCTGCAGGCTGGCTGCGTTTGCGTTTGCCATCGCCCAGGTGCGCCGCGCTGTCTTCCTCACGGAGGGGGGCCCGTGTCAGTGCATGTGGTCGCGCCAGGATGTGCGTAACAAACCGCATGCGCTCAGCTGCGGGTTGCGGCGATTGCTGCCCTCATGCATCCATAATGACTCTCTGCCCACCAGTCCTTGCACTTGGACCACCCCCCACCCCCCGCCCCCAGGCCGTGGGCCAGCTGACCTACCTGCGGCCCTACGTGACGGACTTCAGCCCCGAGTGGCTGGCGGGCAGCACGCTGGCGCTGGTGGCGGGGGCCATGAGCCTGGTCTACATCGCTGACACAATCACAGAGCTCAAGCTGGTGGGGATCATGGGGGGCGGGCGAGGGTTTTGGGGAGGGAGATACAGGGGCTGGTGGCGGTGCAGCTGGGCCGCGGCGGGGGCAGGGGGCGCGGGGGG